GGGAAAATTGTGCCGACGAAAATGGTCCTGTACTATAGTTGCTTTTAGACCATAATAACACCACCAACATTGTACTATATAGATCAAGAAAGGTCACCTATAGTTGACTTAACTGGAAATTCCATTTATCCTTTCAAATAAAAAACTCTTTTCGATTCTATCTATCTCTTATGTAAGATTTAATGAAGGATGCCTTCAGTCGGAGGAGAGAGACTGACTAATTCGTAATTCTAATTATAAATAATAATATCTATTTACATGTTTTTACTCTGTTTGAATATTTCATTCACACGCACCCACCCATGTGAGTAACACATACACATTCTATGTGCAAATTATTAGTGTGAACATTATTATAGATATCCTAATTTTTCTGCTTATGAAGCGTACGGATTAATATATCAACCAACTAACGTGATAGCAAATTAACAATCACATAAGTCATGAATATATTGCACATAGTTGATGGACACATATTAATGGACTCACGATGAGTACGTGAACCAAGAGTGTGCTATTTTGATCACCAAAAAAATAGCAAACGAAAACCACCAAAAAAAATATATATTTTTTTTTTTTTTCTTCCAACTCATGTATAACATGATCAAACAAGAAAATCATCATCTTTAATTTTACAATAGATATCTGGAAAATTCAACTGACCGGAGCAATTTTTTTTATTTTTTTTCAATGTTAAATCAATTTATATCCATGTAATCGATAATTGAAGGTAGGGTCCAAACCCACCATACATATCCACCCAGATTAAGTTGTTATTCGAGGCAGATGCATCAGATTCCCAATCAAGAATCAAACTAAGGGACCAAAAAGCCTGAGCTCTCTGCAAAGGAAAGCAATTTTTCCTGTGAAAAGAAAATCAAATTTATAATAATGTCCGAGCATGGTTCAGCATTAGCAATCCAAAAGAAGGCGGACGCATGTGGGCTGGACAAGGATTATGGGGGCAAAATACCTGGCAATTACCCTGTTTTGTTGGGGGCTTTATGGGATTAATTAACTTATGTCCAAGATTTTGCTTTCGAGGGTTCATTGTTAATGATGTCGCCATGTTTGAAAATTGGAAATATATTTATTGCTACGTGTTGAATGTGGGGTTCGATAAATTTACCTGTCTTTTTTTTAAAGAATAAAAATGCATATTAATATTACGAAATATAATACATTTATTTATATTATTTTTAAATTCTGTTACTTGTCTATAAATGTATATATATTTATTAAAAAACAGGGCCGACCCTGACTAATGTCAAAGTGGGCATTGGCCATGGGCCCCCAAATATTTGGGGCCCCAAATTTATATCTACATTATATATATGTGTATGGATTTTTGTTAGTGAATTTTTCTACCAATTAAAAAACCCACAAAAAAATTAGCTTTTATTGGCCCAAGCCCAAACACATATAAGAAAATAATCATAAGTAATAAAAAAAAAATCAAAGTCACTTTTTCTTTTGGAATTGGAAGCAACGGGAAAGGCAAGTGGAGAGAATATCAAAATAATTTTTCCATCAATATTCCTCATCCAACATTTCCACACAACTTCCCACGCTCAGATAAAGATGATAGGGAAAGAAAAAAAAAAGTATAAAGGTGGTAGGTTAAGATGACGACAAGGATACTTGAGAAGGAAGAGTAATATAATTTCCGTCTCGTAAACACCATTGTGCACTATACTCCTCCCCATCTTTATAGTATCGTGCTTTGCTTTTCTTTTTTACTTACGTCTATTTCCAAGTTGTACTTTCTAACGGGCGGAAAAATTTTTGAGTGTAGCGGATAAACAATTTGGAGCAACTATTTCGACGATTAAGCTTTTCTTTTCAGTCTTCAATTGATTCTTCTATTTATTCGCGAAAGTGAAACACACAACCGAGAGACCTACTACAATTATTAGGGTTTTTTGGGTTTGAAGATCATTATCCAATGCATAAATCAGGTTATATTTCTCGATTATATTTTATAATTTTGGTGTTTTATTTTTATTGTTTGATTCCCAGGCTCTTTTTTTATGTGTTTGTCTATTATTATTTTTCACTGTAATTAAATGTATGTGTTGAAGAAAGGGCCTCTTACCCAATCTTCTCCATGGGCCCCAAAAATGTCACGGCCGGCCCTGTTAAAAAATATAAATGCCTAATGATCACATCTGCCTCACAGCAACCCCATTGGCCCCAAAAATGTCACGGCCGGCCCAATCTTCACTAATGTTGCTCTTAAACAACCTAACGATTAAAATGACATTGTAGAATGCTAGTTTTTGGGTTGTGTTGTTGGAACATGAAATATGGCATTTCATTGTGGAATTACGAAAAAAGTAGAGTCTAACGTTATGTTAGAAATCAGTTGTTTAAAATTTAGTTTGACCAATTTTGATTGATTTGTTTTATGACTAAATGTTTAATTTGAGTTTAATTAAATTGTACAGAAAAATTTTGCATAACGGTAGATACCCTTTGTATAGTTATTTTTTTAAAATTGATTTTCGGTGAGTCAGAAAAAAATGATTAAAGATAGTCATTAATGAACACATAAAACGATACTCGTGTGATTCAAAGAGTCGAGAGTTATATCTCACTGATGAGAACCGGACTCAGAAGCAAGGCAGTTTGGATTTCGAGCGGGAATTGCCATGCATTAGGATAAATGGTGTTAGTTTATTTGTTTAAATTTTAAATATGTTTAGTTTAAATGTGTTAGCTATATGTTAGTTATAATTTGAATATTTGAATTATTAGATTTAGGCTATAAAAAGCTATGTACTCATTATTGTAAAAAAGAAGTTTTATGAAATAAAGTTTAAAAAAAATACTCGTTTTCGAGTACTGTATTTGTGAAAACCGAGGCCGATAGTGCAGATTTTTCACTTATTAATGTATAAATCAAGGCCGTCAGTGCGGG